CAGAGCATCAGTTCCCAAAGAGTACAGAGAGCTCCTTTAGTCCCTGTGGGTGGGAATAGCCGTACAAAACATTTTTCACCACAGGAACGGAGTCCCCATGAGAGCAGATGGCCACCACATCCACTTGTCCCAGGACGGAAGCCTGATCATAAGCAGCGTTCAAGAGGCAGATGAGGGATCCTACACATGCAGCGCCTACAGCAGCAGCAACTCTGTCAGTGCCAGCACGGAGGTGAAAGTGCTGAGGACCCGGCCTAGCAGTGAGTACAGCCTGGCCTCCCTGCTTCTCCCGGCACAGTGCCTACCTCCTGGCCACTTCCACAAGCCTGCGCGTTGCGTGTGCCCAGCCACTGCCGACCCCGGGCTTTGGGGAGCATCAGGAGCTTCTGGGTTGTGCTACCTGAAGGAGCCCTGCTTTCCTGGGGCAGAAAAGCAGGATGGTGGAAACACACACCTGCCCCCCTCCCCCCTCTGCCAGGGTGCTGGGAGCCTAATTAACTACCCGAGGCCAAAATGCCATAGTTGGCTGTAAGATTTATAGTTGGACTCTGGACACCATCCAGCTGGCTTTACACAGGGTGTAGAGTGCCTCACCTCAGGAGATCAGCCCCAGAAGCTGCATTCTCCTCCTGTGTCTCACCAGAGGTGCCAGTTTCTCTCTTGTCTTTGATGTTGGGACTACATTTAAAACAATCCCCCTAGAACTGGCAGCGTGGAGAAAGCAGGAACATGCTGTGTCTTTTGGGAGGGAAATGAAACCTGAGGATAAGCCCTGGCAGTGTATTTACAGCTGCTTCACCTTTTGCTCAGCTGCAGCTCCTGTGAACCGCGTTGCGGACACGAGCAGGGAGTGCGTGGACCAGCCCCACCTCGCCAACTGTGACCTGATCCTGCAGGCCCAGCTCTGCACCAACGAGTACTACTCCAGCTTCTGCTGCGCGAGCTGCTCGCGCTACCGACCGCAGGGCGGCCCTTCCCGTCACCACGGCTGACGGGCACCTCCACGGCCACGTGAAAGCGCAGGTGACCGATTATGAGACTGGAAGTCTGAACTCTGTCCTTTTACTGCATGAAACTGGTCTGGGAGCTCTGCCCTGCTGGGAAGCTCAAGGGGGTGAATTGAACAGAGTGTAGTGGGTGTAACTGTGCAAAGGTGGGAGAGCCACCACCCTCAAGTTTATTGCACTCCTTTTTTCCCCCCCGTATGCCTTGCTGTAGCTAATCCATCTCTTCACTTAAGGGTAGCTGCTGTCATTCACAGAACAAGATGCTATTATTTGGAACATAAGGATGCTGTGACTTAGAGAAGGCAGATAACCAGCATGAAAGAGGGAGAGCCCAATTCTTCATACAAGCAAGAGAGAGAAGCACTCTTAAAAAAAAAAAAAATCTTCTCTGAAGTGTTTGAAGATGGGCCTCAACTGTCTTAATCAAAGCACTAATGAGCGATGAAGATTTGTAATCCTGGAGAGCACTTTCCATCTAAATGCAAAGGACTCTGGTCATGAGAAACAGCTTGATGCATATAAAATTAATGTTCAGGACCTATGAGATTACTAGCTCTAGGGATGAAGCTGTAACATCACGTTACTGTAGCTGCTTTATTCCAGTAGACCTTAGACAACTTTCTAGTTGGGTCAGTTTAGTTTCCACTTGACTGTAAGAAGCTTTGGAGTGAAACGCAGAAGCAATGCTTCAGAGAAAGCTTAAGACAAAATAGAAGAATACTTTTAGCCCTTCTGGAATGTTAGGGGTATTTTAGATGAATATACCAAGACTGTTATCTGTTCTGGGATGCTGCAGTTTAAATATCACTTGGTCTAAGAAGGCTCAGCAGATAATTTTTTTTTTTCCTGGGCCAGAACTGTGCTGTTGAATTTATTACAAAGCTAGGCTTGGTGGTAGCGTTGCACTGAGCTTCAGCTTGGGGAGGTGAGTAATATACATGTAGAAATAGGTGTAGGGGCATTTGATTTGCCAGAATAAACCTCCCAATGATCTGCTCTAGTCTCCATTAAGTCCAGGAAAGCCTGGCTCTGCATGTGGCCTGGGCTGATTCCAACTAACAAGTGAGGACTTCCAGATGCAGCACTGCTATAGCTGAAGTGTCCTTCGTTTCCAGACTAACACTGAGTGGCAGCAAGCATGCATACGAGGCTCTGAAAGAAAGTCCCAGGCATTAAGGGGTGGGGAGGTAAGATTATATTATGGTTCGTTAAACCAACAAAGGCCCTTGGGTGTCTTTGGTATCTCAAAATGAAATTATTTCTGAGCAAAAGCATTTTTTATAACCTTTGCAGTATTGTTCTACCCTCGTATCAGCCCTAACAGTCCTCCTCTTCCTCATTCCAAACTCCCTGCTGAGACTTGGATGGGTTAATCATGTTAATTAGCATCATCACACATTTATTTCCATAGCTGTAGCTATAAAGTATTAGACTGGTGTGTAGCATTGATGTTTTGGTTGCAGATGGAGGATTGGCTTTTTTTTTATTTCCTTCTACTTCTGTTACTTTAATTTAAGGCTTCTAGGAAAGGCAGCTAATTCAGGACTGTGCTCACACCACTCTCCTCTGTTCAGTCCAGGCTTGGCACTCAGGACAGCAGTAATACATAGGTGTAAATCCCCAGGCTTGACAACCTAAAGCTGGTTTAGTCTCTAAATCCAGTACACCGGTTCAGATGCACCTAAAAATAAGAATCACTAACCTAACAGTCGCACTCTTTTCAGCACAGGTATGGCTTCAAGAGTGGACACACTGCTTTAAGATGTGAACAAACTGAAAAGTCTAGAAGCAATCCAGTCAAGGAGTGAGAGGTGACAGTCACACAGCTATTTTGGGGGGGGCGGGGGGCGGGTGGGTCTTTCTGTGGATAGATGCTGCTTGCTAGAAAAGACAAAAATACTTCTTTTGCAGTTAAGAAACTTTGATTAGGGAAAATTTCCTCTGCTGTAATTCATCATAGGGGTTACAGTGTAAGGTTTGAAGGTGACATCATTGGATAGTTAAGAACAATGAAACAATGAGAGGGGCCTGAGAACTTCGAATTGTGTTTGTACATAATTATGCATTTAACATCTCCAACCAGCATCTCTTTTTTTTTTTTTTTTTTTTTTGTTTAGCGGGAATTTTGGGTATATACTACACTATTCTTTGCCTTTTGAGACCAGGGACTCTGTAAATTCGAGTCTTAGTGATGCCCTATCAGTTCACATATGGCAGGCATAGGGGGTAGTCATCTGTGGACCTGCTCAGGAGCACAGAAGTTGATTGTGGACGTAACCCTTTTGTCCCAGAATAAGCAGCCAGTGCTGTAATATCCCTTCCTACTATCTCAGAGGCTCTATTTTTAGACTATTTAAATATTATGCATAGTCAGCTTTCATTTAAGCTGTATGCTTATACAAGATATGGCCAGGGAGCACTTTCTGAGGGCTGTAAGAGCCACCTCTATTCTGCTGGACAGGACTCTTTAACACTGAAGGTGCTTCAGTTATGTGAGTGTTTATTCTGACCTCCTTTCAGCTGCATAACTGTGGTAGTAAGGATGTTAGTGGCAGGCATGCAGTTCACTGCTTTAAATACAACTGCAACAGTTAGCTAAAGGGTCTTTTTAGGTTTCTTCTATTGGACAAGCTGAGCTTTTCCCACTTCACTGCTTAACAATGTTTACTTTTTTGATTTGAGAATCAAGATGTTGATTTTCTTCCCTAAACAATGGATTGTAGGAAGGTCGTATCTCCTCTACTGTTATCTCCAGGGCAGGGGAAGGGTGTAGCTGTACCGGGCTATTTTCAGCTGCCCTTGGGGCACTTCTGCAAAAGATATGGAACTAACAGAACAACCCAGAGATGCTTTCTTTCCTGTTATAAATATTTTCTTGCTTTTTGAAAGATGAAAGAAAACATTAGCAGAAGTCAAACATCCTAAGGAGTGTTGGTCATTACTAGTCATATCATATTGAAAACAGGTAAGAATCTGTAAAGAGAAAAGTCCCAGTTTTCTAGCCCCTGTGAGACTCACTGTACTTGCCTGGAAATCAAAATTGCTGGCAAGTTCAAGTGCTAGGGCTACACAAAGGGAGCATTTCTTCCCCTTCAGGTTACAAAATCTGGCTTTTCCTCATGTCTAAACAGACATGGTGCATGTAAGAATGCAGTAAGAACCAGCCATACTAACAGGGCAGGTATCAGCTCACTGGAAGAATAGAAAAGGAGTGAAAATACACTGTCTTCTCTTATGGCTCTTAGGATCTTCACTCCTTTTAGTAGTAGGAGAAAGAAAAACAAAGTGACTTTTCCTTTTTTCCCTTTCCAAATGTTAGGGTCTTTGTATTTGTCTCTATGTAAATAACATTCTGTGATTCAGTGTTAGAAAATCATCTCCAACTTTCCTGCAGGCCCCCTTTAAGTACTGGAAGGCCACTCTAAAGCCTTCTCTTCTTCAGGCTGAACAACCCCAACTCCCTCACCCTGTCCTCACAGGGGAGGTGCTCCAGCCTCCTGCTCATCTTCATGGCCTCCTCCTTTGTGGTCCATGTCTTCCCTGTGCTGGGGGCCCCAGAGCTGGATGCAGCACTGCAGGTGGGGTCTCACCACAGCAGAGTAGAGGGGGAGAATCCCCTCCCTCAACGTGATGGCCACACTGCTCTTGATGCAGCCTAGGACACAGTGATGTAAACACAGAATTTGATGTTTTCAGTAAAGCCCTCCCTTTCAGAGCTTTAAATAGTTATGGGTCACAAGGATATTTGCAAGTTTAGTCTTACAGTGCAAGGTAACCCACCACAGTGTATAAAATGAGGTAGGCTGGCAAGCTGGGCTCATCTACACTCACCTAATAACAGAGAAGATACCCAGACGGGCAAATGCTGAAACCTGAATGGAGGTGGTAAAGAAAGCTTTCACAGACAGTGCTTCTACCACCAACATTTATTTCTGTTAAAGCAGATTATAAATCATCAGTACAAATATATATAACTTACATTTGCTTGTAAGGCCAAAGTTTAAAAGTAAAGTTAAAATGAGATGGTTTTCACTGTCACCAGAGGCAGAACCTGGACCAGCTGCAGCCTTAACCACAAGGTTTCACAAATCAGTGGGAAAAAATAAAACCAAAGTTAAAAAAACCTCTAAGATCTATTGACAGACAAACATAAAATGGTTTCCCAGGTAGCCCCAGGATGTAGATATGATTACAGTAAGTTGTCACAGTAGTGTTAGAACCAATAGATTAAGACAAAGAAACTGCAGCAATACATGAAAGGAAAAAAACCATACTATATATAATATGTAGTTTGATTCCCATAAAAAACAGTACATTTGCCCCATGGTTTTCAAACCATGACAATACCATTCTTTAATTTTCTTTATTTAAAACTACGTTATAATGACTTATTGGTTGTGATTGTTGTTGCAATATGCTACTTACAATGAACAGATACAAGAACAAGCTAGAGCCCCTTTTTCCACCCCCCCCCAATATTACTTACAATAAGAATCAGAGATAAATCAATCTTATGTACAATTTCTTACATCCAACCCCCCTTTTTTTAACCTTTGGCAAGATTACTTACAACTCATACAGCTTTTAATATCCAACTATTTAAAATATTCTAAATGCATAAAAATAAAGATTTTAGCTTTACTTTATTCTTTACATATAATATTCACTTTGTTGCTCAAAATGGAAGCTCAACTTTTTCCACAAACCTAGCTTTTGCTAAGCAGGTGACAACCTCCCACCCCTATCCACCCCC